TCAGATGTTGAAAATGATTTTAATATTTCATTTGAGAACAATTTCAAAAAAACAAATGCAGAGGGCGGAGCATGCTTTCCATCCATCAGATCATGAGTGAGAAGCACATGGCCTTGCATGCACACACAAACAGACGGTGTTTATATAGAAAAGCTAAGAAAAGCCACTTGCACACCCCCACATGCACACACACATGCACACACACATGCACACAAACACGCACACACACACGCGCACACACACACACACACACACACACACACACACACACACACACACACGCACACAGAACCAAAGCTGGGCAATATGGCGAGTCCTTATCATCAATTAGATGCATCTTGGGTAGACTGACAGACTGCCTTGGATTCGCTCTGGAACAATCATGCTTTTTTTGGTGGAGTTCAGAGTTGCACAGGCCGACGGTTGGCACCACTTGATTGGTCGGGTGCCGACCAGCCGACCGGACAGTTGGGCGGCACCTACCAGTCGGCGGTTGTCGGCACCCCGCAAAAAAAAATAAAAATTGTAACCCCCAATAACCCCACTGACACCCCCATACGGCCCCCCCAACACCCCTAAACCGCCCCCCGACACCCTCATACCCCCTCCCAATACCCCAAACCTGTCTCTTATACACATCTAGATGTGTATAAGAGACAGGGGCTGTAGTCAGCAAGTGCAGTACACCCCTATAGTCAGATGTTTTTAAAAATCAGTGGATTGCTGTTTACTCACTGGTTGGAAGACCGCCGACCGGTCGGCCCTACCACTAGCCCGCAAAACGGTAGGCGGTCGGCGGGTATGCAACCCTGGTGGAGTTGTAGAGTGAGCATGGCAACAAACATACAAAGGGGCTGTCCACCCAGTAGTTGCTTTTCGCTTACTACCGGTAGTCTATTCTTTCAGTGTATTCAGATCAACAGACGGCTACGTCACTTTGCTTAGTAGCTGTTTGTCACTTCTTACTCAGTATTATTTGGTATTCCACTAAGAAGTAGTTTCTCATGGTTTTCGCAATGTTTACTGAGCACTTGTTTCTCATGGTGTCCCACAGACGTCACTCTTCAGAAGCAATAGGCGATCACAGCAGCAGGCATTTCTCTCTCAAACTTCCTCAGGCCAGACAGACACTCAGTCCTCATCCGATGAATCCAGCCTCGATCACAGGCAGAATCATTCAAGAAAGAAAGAAACCCTCGTATGGCCTCACTGGGCAGAGGAAAGTAATATGCCGTCACTCTTCACTGCGGAGTTGGGCGGTTGCAGCATCAGGCATTTCTCAATCGCATGTACATGGCTCAACCCTCAGCCCAGGTCGAATGAATCCTCCCTCATGCCCAGGCCAGGATCATTTAAGAAAGAAACGAACATTATACGCCCTCACTGGTTCACCACCACTACGTAATCCACCTGCACTGCTGGCGATGCGGGCACATGGCCTCACTGGGCAGAGGAAAGTAATCTGCCGTCACTCTTCACTGTGGAGTTGGGCGGTTGCAGCATCAGGCATTTCTCAATCCCATGTATGTGGCTCAACCCTCAGCCCCCGTCGAATGAATCCTCCCTCATGCCCAGGCCAGGATCATTTAAGAAAGAAAAGAACATTATACGCCCTCACTGGTTCACCACCACTACGTAATCCACCTGCACTGCTGACGATGTGGGCACGAAAGGCGGGCCTTTCTGCTTGTCCTTAGCACAGTCCTTGATTGTGAAGGCTCGTTCCTTTTTTTCCACGCCCACTAACATTCCAGAATCCATATAGTTTTTACGGGTCACACAGTGTTGCCAAGCGCACAATCACTTTGCTGGCCAAATCTGGTCATGGAATGAAAATTGATCGAGTCCAAGCCGCAAGGGATTTTTCAGAGATTGGCAGGAAACCTCGACGCACCTGCATCCACATTGTTGTCCAGATTCACAGAGTTTCTTTTGTTGTGCCATTGTTACATGTCTGACTGTGGGTTAACATAGATCACATGGCACATATGTGTCACCCTGCTGCACACGAACATCGTTTAAGTTGATCCACTTGCTGGTGCGACTCCCTTTTTCTTTTTTGGGGGCACCATGTCCTCCTTGTGCAGCAGGGGCCATGCTAATCTTCTGTGTATTGTTCCAATTTTAACGGATCTCATGGAGGATGCCGGTGTGACTTTGGCCCTGGCAAGTCAGTGGAAGTCTAATGGAAAAGTTTGGCCCTGGCAAGTCAGTGGAAGTCCCCTTGTTTTCTCTGCTTCTGTGGTATGCCGGCACCCACAAGGGCCCCTTCAGGGCCCAACATTGATCTAACAAGAGGACAGGTAGAGAGAGGTAGGGTTTGTGGCACGCATGTGTGTGGAGTGTTTTCTTCATTTTGGGGGGTTGCCTGTATTTTTCTATCGAGTTCGTTTTGTTCGTTCTCAGTCCTTTTTGTCTGCTCTGAATTCTTTTTGTCTGCTCCAGTCTTTGTCTGGTCTGGATGTGTCGTTTCGGTTTCTGTCCAGACCGATTGTGTCGCTTGAACCATTAGACCTGATTCAGGTCCAGCGACCGTTTTTCAGGCCTGGTGCACTCCGTTTGCGGCTGAAGCACGTTTTGGTCCAGCCCCTGGTTTGTCGTTTGTGAGGACACCAGCAGAGGAGAGTGGACGTACAGTTGGGACTCAGGCAGGCCGTTTTTAGCCCAGGCATCAGGACCAGCACTTGGGCCTGCATCCTGGACCATCGATTAGAGGTCCGATCAGCCCAGAATACAGGCCGAGGTAGGATCCAGTAGGCTCAGCGCTATATATAGCTGGGCCAGTGTTGCATACTGTAACGTGCAGACCAGAACAAGAACCGACCTTTCAATACAAAGTATAAGATAGCACAACGGAAGACTTAGATACCAGTGATCCGAACAATCAATGTTGCAATGCAGCCCTGAACACACCTCATCATCATCGTTACATGGTGTGAAATGGGCCTGGGGCTTCACACAGGAAGACTGCGCCAGCCCATACCATACACAGACGAAGAGGAAGGGGATAGACGAAGAGGAGGGGGAAGATGGGAATGTCGTCAAC